CAATCCTCCCGATAAAGTAAATAGATTGTTTAGGAGTTTTCATAGATTCATCAATATGTCACTAGGACTTTAGTTTAAATTGTTTCTCATTTTCCTACCAAATACACATTGTGACAGATTCTTAGTCATGTGACAATTATTTCTTAAATAAATCTTTTGTATTCTTATACGGTCAACTCAATATGACAAAGACTTACTCCAAGTGTAAAATAGTGGTCAAAACTATATTGAAACAGCAAAGAAGGAGTCAATAAGCTGCAAAATTTGCTACTTTAATTTGTGCTTAAAGTATTTAAAAATTGGTTTTCACAGAAATATTCAACTTCGACAGGTGTTTCTTTCATTTTTAGAAGGTAAGTAGAGAGCTAGATAAAAGTAAAAAAATGGTTTGACTATACAAGTTCTATGTAAGTTAACAGTAATACTATATTTTTGTATTGGTAATCAATCTGTGACCTAATTATACAAGTGTATGTCATTCAGAAACTAATAGTGGTATCATCAGGTCATCTGACTTAGTCAGGTGATGTCCTCCATCGACCGTAATCTTTTGAACATTTTCAGCTTTTTCTATGGAACAGTGTAATCAATTCCGATCAATTTTGGCATATAGCATCTATGGGTAATGGAAAACAAAAAAAAAATGAATTTCATAGTCTCTGCCGCCCTGGGGCCTGAAGGCTTGGGGCTTAAGCCATCAAAGTCAACACAATTTTTAAAAATCTTCTTTACTCCTGGACAGCAAGCAGACAATCTTCCGACATGATTGCAATAATTATTGAACACTCTAACAAAAATTGCGAATTTCGGGGCCACAGGGAAAGGGAAGCCTGGTGTTGAAGTAGTGCTTCATTGATCATATAGAGAAAATGAATTTGAAAAACTTTATCTCTGCTCAGACAAACTAAGTGCACAGTTTGCATGAGCAATGTTGCCTCTTCCAAAATAGTGAAAATTCATGGTCCTTAGGTTAGGGGTTCTGATGTTAAGGTGGGGCTTAATTGATTGTATAGTGGAAATGCATTCTTTCGAAATCTTCTCTGCTCCTGTGTATCTAGGCAAAAGAGTATATAGTTGTAATGAGTACTGATTTGTGAAATTCTTAACCAATGGGTCAAGGGTTGTGGTGCTGGACATAGGGTCTACTGATCATATGTGAAAACTTTTCTTCTACTTTGAGAGAGGTTATTCTCCTTAGTTATTCACCTATGATAATTAATTACTGTCAACAATGTAATTAATGGGCCAATTGAATAAAAGAATTATACAACAATTTTAAATGTATTATACAAAAAGTAGCTTTGCAGTTCGAAATGGTTAGGTAGACTTGTAGATAATAGATAAATAAAGTGAAACAAAAGTAGCCTATATTTCTACAATAAATGGTATTCAGTCCAAGAGAGGACGGTGTTAGAGGGATTTTGTACATGCACAAGCATTGTTGTGTTGTTTAGTTTGCTGTTTAGTGCACTGGATTATACAGGCAAGTAAAGAGATCTACTTTATGAGTTGTTGCTGAGTACCAAATTATTGTGCTGAACCCTGATCGTCTTACTTCTCTTGTTTTAGAACAAGGTATCTTCATCTTTCACTTTATTTATTTATTAAATTGCCATTCTAGGGATACTTTACAAGGTTGTGTTATGTTTAGGTGACCGTTAAGGTCCCTGGGCTACTTGTATTTTCGTATGGATAATAATCTGACTACATGTCAGAAGCAATGACTACAAACCCAATTTTAATCATGTGATACAAAATACATATTTTGGAACAGATTCTGAATATAAGAAAAATACATAAAATATCAAATCAAACTGATCATACTTTGAACGCTTTTTTTGTTATAAAGTCCGAACATTATGAATAATGGCTCAGAAAAGTCAATCGATTTAACAGCAAATATTTCTTTTCCACTCAATAGATCTCTAAAAACAATTGTGCCGTTTAATCCACTTATGAGTACATTAAATCCTAAAGTGGCTGTCGTGCCCTGAGTGGAAGGAGACAAAGCTGTAGATCTGTGCAGATAATGGTTAAATTTTTCAACCAAAAGGTGAAGATTCTCACCAATATGTGCTGCATGCATACTTAAACAGTACATGCCCCCATAATGCAAATTATCAGTATTGTTTTCTTTACAAAATGACAAATCGAAAATCATGTCCCTTTCCTCTAATGTCTTTGTAATATTATACTTTACAATGAAATTTAATCTCCATTCTTCCTGTCGTGATACTGTTTTATCAGCCTTAACACCAATATACTTAATCAAGGGTTTCAAGCCTGGTCCTTGGAGGGCACTGGGAAAATCAGTGTTGCTCAGCAATTTCCTGTTTTCTGATACGTACACTTCACCATGGAGTGTTGCCGAATCAAATAATGTAGAATCTTCAAAAGAAGAAAAATTAGATTTGGAGAACCATTACCGGTGTAGTATAATAAATCCTCCATAAACCTTTCCCCAGAATGATTACCATATAGTAAAGCTTTCCCTCGGAATAATTGCTATAAAGCACACTTTCCTCATGGATGCTTTGCTTTATAATAAATTTTCCCCACAATAAAGTTTACAATATACCAAACATTCCCCTCATGCACTGGAAATGACAATCGGATATTTTGCTATAAAATAAAATTTTCCGATTTATCCGGATAATTATTCTTATTTGAAATGAAGTATACCCAGAGCGTGTATAATGATTTCTCATGACAATCGAAAATTTACATGATAAATGTACATGATTGTTAATTTCAAAACGTTCTGTAATACAATTTCACTTTTGTTCTACTTACCTTAATATGGAATTATGGTGAAAGGTCTTACTTTATTAACCATTGTCATTAACAGCTGAAACCAATCTAGTTATGATAAATTTTGTTTTCAAAGCTTTAATTTTTTTTCCCCAGAATTTGTCGAGTAATGAAAGAATTGTTGTAATTTAAAAAAAAAAATGGTACTGAGATTTGTAAGTAATGTGTTCAAAAGTCAGTTTCATAAAATACTGATTATAGACAGTATCTTTTGACAATCAATAATTTCACAGAGATGAAATTAACAATATTTAGGCGAGAAAAATTTAATATTTGTTTAAAGGATATTTTTTTCCAAATATTTGGGTAGGGGGAAGAAAAAAAAGAAGAGACAGCTAATTTTTATCTTTCGATTGAAATTTAATCACACGGTTATGTCTTTTGCCCTTTATTGCATTTCGTATTGCTGGTTGACACACGGAACTCGTCATAAACATTTGCGAATGACTTATCACATATTTCACATGCCAGTGTCAATTTCTTGGACATGCCAGTTTACAAAAGGGCAAGGTATTCAGAATATCAAAGAATACCGGTCAAATAATCAAACCTTAGCTAACACTTTTCAGTACCTGCATTCCTCAAAGCCCATTAGTCTTTATGACCTTATGATCAAGCTGTAACGCATATTATTTTTAAATAACAGAGATGAACAGAGTAATCTAGATGCTGTCATAAGACAGTAATACACGCACTAGGGTGTTTGCCTCTAAATGCACTCTACTTCATATCTGGGTAACCAGCTAGGAAAAGGCCACAATAATTCTATAATTGACGCAGAGAATGTATTTGTCACATCGAGCATATTAAATGTTCAGGTATAGTTCAGAAGATGTGGCCCATGGGCCTCTATTGCAGGTATTCAATATACTAAATTAATTACCAGTCTGAAATTACAGTATTTAATGATGTAAAAGAGAATATTTGAAAGAAATTTTGATAAAAAAGGGGGATTAATTTTTTTTTTACCTATTACTGGAACTTGTTGACATTATTGTCAAAATGTTATTATTTAATGCATAGCGTTTTCATGCACTTAAAAAAAATATTATGATAAGAAACCGTAGAATCACTATAATTGATAAGGGAAGACCTAATAAGAAATAATAGAATCACTATAAGGTCTTCCGTGGAGACGTAAGACCTTAATAATGATAAGAAACAGAATCACTATAAGATCTTCCATGAAGACGCAAGACCTTAATAAGAAACTGTAGAATCACTATAATGTCTTCCGTGAAGACGAAAGACCTTAAAAATAGTGGAAAAGAAACCGAAGAATAACAAGGTCTTCCGCTGAAGACGAAAGACCTTAATAATATAATATAATTTATATATAATTTAATTTAATATACTAATAGAAAGATTAGATCATAACTGAATAACTGATCAATGATAATAAAATGGTTTTATTTTTATTTATACAGTCATCAACATAGAAACTATCTTTGTTCCTATCAGTTTAACCAGCTTACCAATGAGCCTGGCTACTCTTCGTTTGGAAATACTTAAGGTATGTCACTCGTCAGCCTTTTGGAAAATTTCAGTCAGAACCTCTTACTTAAAAACTATTTATTACAATTCCATCTTTATAACATATTTAAATTAAACAATGTAAAATGTTCAACATTCAATTAAAAAACTGCTCAAAAATTCATAAAAAAGCAAGATTTATAAAAGACTATTTCTTGTGGTGGAAGGATATTTAGCAGAAAATTCTGCAAATCTACACATTTATTAAATTTAATATCTTGGAACTTAAGCCTCACATACTTTTACTTAGAGAATATTTTCCGTTATGATATGCCTGGGATATAAAATATAGGTCTCAATTTATATTTTTATAACAAAATGTACACCTTCTCTCAACAAGTTTTGCCAAGAAATGAAGATATATTAAGGAAGTCGACATAAAATTTACATAGTTTTTTGCCTGAAAATCGCATATTTTGATCAATATTTCAAAATTTACTTCACTGACCCCATTTTTTTCTTTCATTAATTTAAACTACTCGATACTTTTGACCGATCAGCACTTAAGTCGTAAAAAGTTTGATACAAGAAAATATTCTATTGCCTATTTAGATTTTTAATACCCCAAATATGAGACTTTTTTAGTGCAAAAAGGTCACACAAAAATTTACGCGCATTAATTTGCTTGATTTGTTCAATGATAAATATTATTCAAACTATTTTACGTAAAATAAGATTATGTTTATTGCCATAGTTCCATGTGATAAAATATGATAACGGTTAAAGTGATTAACCAGAGTTACAATTTAAGTGCAAAAAGGTCAACTTAATTGTACCGTAGCTCGGTTAGACGCACACTGACCCCCCATTTTCTCTGCGATTTTGAGTCATACTATATGAGTACTTATCCAAAATATACTTCTCAAAAAATCCTTGATATAACAAATTTCACGAGTGACATACCTTAAGTAATACTTCCAGTTGAGTGCTATACTCAATTAGGATCAACCAACAAAGAAACAAACAAACTTGAAGGTATATTTCATAATAAAGTTTCAATGAGATACATTAAATTTCTTTTACTACAAATGTTTATGTTTTAAATTTGATTGAATCGATAATAAAAAGACATGATTGTGTAAATTAATATCATATTTTATTAAGATGGCGAGTTTTATATCCAGTTGCAGATGAATTTCTGAATTTTCTATTTAATTTGACATTATATTACAGGGAAGAATTCTGTAATGAGGGTCACTAGCATTGAAAGTAAATAAATCTTAATGACTGTAATGCCTATGGCTGAAGAATTTTTTCCATAAAAGTACCCTTCAATAGCATTTCTATGATTTTTCTTTTGTTATTAATCCTCTAGTAATTGATGCCTGTGTTATGTCTCCTTACATCACTTAATTTGTATGCTTTTATATTTATACCCAATACTGTTTATATTTAGTATCATTGGAAAAACCCACAAACAACAATTTTTTTTAATTCTTTATTGATAACAATAATTTCAATACATTTTAACATTGACAAGTTTGTCATTGACCCGTAGGAATTTTATGATGTGTCCTTAAACCATTGAGCGACATAATGATCTCTTTGTAAAGCTGTACTATGGTCAAAGGGAAATAACCATTCATCTGCTTTTTTTCTCTTCTTGTGTCTTATATGTAAATAATTCACACAATATTGTCCACACACATCTGTATTCAAATCCTGCCATCGAAACGGATTATAAATCCATTGGTTAGCTTGACGATGTATAAAGTCTTTAATTTCATTTCTTTTTTTAAGGGAGGAAATCCATAAGAATCAAAATATTCCATGACTGAACTGGATCAATACGGACAAATCAAGAGCTCTCCAGGTCATATTCGTCACAGTGGCTTTTTCTTGAAGTTTTAATTGATCCGGTAATAAATTTAAGGGAGGCACACCTAAAAAACCTCTTTAATTCTTGGATAAGATCTTTCAACTGTCCTATATCCAATAGTAATCAATGCTCACTTCTCTCTGTTTGTTAATTTCTAACATGTTATCAAATTATTCATACATCACACAATCTAAACTGGTATCCCTGTTGTTGGTAAACTAGGTTTCTACTCTTAAATTTCCAGTTTCTATGAGATGGAATTTATCCGAGTGCGCTTCTTGATCTTTAGTGAAATCACAACCCCATAAAGTGTATCCGTTTATATACTCAATATTTTCACCTACCGGTATTTGGTGTGGCCGTCATCATATAGAATTGAGATCTAGCTCGATAAAATTTATCTCAAACGGAAGTCTACTCCATTCGGTCGAAATCAGCCTTGTTGAAACAAATTCAGATGTAAAAGATCCAACAAGGTTATTTTCTACTTGTATCTATGGCCTGTGGACGTTTTCAGAATCCTTCGTTTTTAGAAATATCCGTTACGCTGGGATGATGGATGTTGGATGATGGCTTCAATTGCAATAATTTCGCTAGCCTTTCTTGATGGTCATGTATGAATTTAAATGTGTAGAATTCATTGTCTAACAAGATCTGAAGAGGAAGCACTCTAGAATCTTTTATGATAGCTCACAAATCCAACATTTGATTTAATGGATCTGAACTTCCCTTACTTATGCAGTAATATACCCTCACCAAATGCATATTGGGTGTATATCTCTCAGTTGATTCGATACGCAAGAGCATGCTCTATGTATGGACAATTTATAAAAGAGGTAAATTATTGACAAACAAGTTGACTAAACAAGGATATCAACAGTCTCGTTTGAAGACATCTTTTCACAAGCTTTTCGGTCGATACAATGACCTTGTCAGCACATACAACATATCATTGAGTCAAATGCTGACTGACGATTTTCCACTAATTGTTAGGCCTTTATATATACACTAAACTGTCCACGGATTTTTACGGTTTTTGTTTCCCGATCATGACAAGGAGCACACGAGTGTGACCGGTCGGCAGGGGATGTTCACTTCTCCATGGCACCTGATCCCACCTCTAAATTTTGAGGTCCGTGTTTGCTGTGCTCCAAATTTGTATCGTTTCATTTGACTTTCGAGATTGAATACTGTTCATTATCTTCATATTTCATAGTGAAAGTGCACTATTTTTTCTCTGCTCCTAGGTATTTAGCAGATAAACCAATTAAATAATTATGATGAACACGGGCTCTTCTTCCAAAATTGTGAATATCTTGGCCCCTGGGTCAGGGGCTCTTGTGTAAGGGTGGAGCTCTATTGATCATATAGTGAAAATACATATTATTTCTTTAAAAATCCCATCTCCCCCTGTATATAAAGCAGATAAACTAGGTGCATGGTTATGATGATTAAAGGATGCCTCTTCCAAAATTGTGTTTTGTTTGTTTGTTTGTATGTTGTTTAACGTCCCTCTCGAGAACTTTTCACTCATATGGAGACGCCACCACTTGCCGGTGGAGAGCTGCAAATTTTGTCCTATACTCGGCACTTACGGCCATTGAGCAGTGAGGGATCTTTTTCGTGCCAGCACCTACTGCGACACGGGACCTCGGTTTATACGGTCTCACCCGAAGGACCGGTCTCCACGTCCCACAGTGGGATTCGAACCCGCGACGTAAGGATCAACTCCTTACTCCGCGACTCTAGAGCAAATGCTCTAACCACTGCGCCACGCGGGCGACTCCAAAATTGTGAAATTTATGGCCCCAGAATTAGGGGGGGGGGCATCATTGGTTATATAGTGAAAATGCATTAATTCTTTGAAAATCTTCTCTACCCCTGGATATATAGCAAATAAACCAAGTATTTAGTTATGATGAGCAAGGGCAACTTTTCCAAATTTATGAATATCTTTGCCCCTGGGTTAGGGATACAGGTGTAAGGGTTGGGCTCTATTGATTATAATCATAGTGAAATTGCATAAATTCTTCAAAAATCTTCTCTGCTCCTGGGTATTTAGCAGATAAATTAAGATCACGGTTATAATGATCAAGAATGCCTCTTCCAAAATCGTGAAATCTGTGGCCCCTAGGTTTAGGGGTTCTTGTCGGGGGGGGGGGGGGTTTCTATTGAATATATAGTGGAAATACTTTTTTTGAAAATCTTCTTCTCTGTCCCTGGGTTTTTAACAGAAAAAACTAATTACATGATTATTACAAGCAAGGAAATCTTTTCAAATAGTTTGAAATTCATAACCATGGGGTCAAGGATCTTGGTGTTAGGGGGAGGATCTTTTGAATACCGGTATACAGTAGAAATGTGCATTATTTTTTTTTTTTGAAAATCTTCTCTGCCCATTATTATTATGGAAACATACTAAGTGCATGTTTTGATGAGCAAGAGTGCTTCTTCCAAAATTGTGAATATCTTGGCCCCTGGGTCAGAGGCTTTCGTGTTCAGCTGGAACTATAATGCATCTTTAGTGAAAATGGATTATTTCCTTGAAAATCTCTGCTCCCCCTAACAAAAAATACTATAGTTAACTATAGTTCACTTTAGTAAATCAAAGTGTCAAAGTGATCACTATAGTAAATCAAAGTTTTCAAAGTGATCACTATAGTGTCAATGTGATCACTTTAGTTAATCAAAGTTTTCAAAGTGATCACTTTAGTGTCATAGTTATCACTATAGTAAATCAAAGTTTTCACCATAGTAAATCAAAGTTTTCATAGTGATCACTATAGTAAATCAAAGTTTTCATAGTTATCACTTTAGTAAATCAAAATGTCAAAGTTATCACTATAGTAAATCAAAGTTTTCAAAGTGTCAAAGTTATCTTTATAGTTAACTATTGTAAACTATAGTATTTTTTTTGTTAGGGCCTGGGCATCTAGGAGGCAAATAGGGTATATAAAGTTGAAATAAGCAAGGGTGTTTTTACCAGATTTTGAAATTCTGTACCCTTTGGTAAATTTATCAATTTCTAGTTATTCCCCTTTGCTATTCACCTATTATAGTTAATCACAGTAAATAATGAAAGTAAACTTAAGGGGATGGTAACTGGTTCAATTGTTTGCTGTTTATGCCGAGTCAGCAGTATATCAGCAATATTTCGGCGGGGATATAGAAAATAAAGTAACATTTAACAAATATATTTACTTCACCTTTAAGGCTCCTCACGACTTACCAGTTTCGTTTTTGTTCTGCAAATATCAATAGCCTTGAATAATAAGTCCTTTATATGAAATCGTTCACCGAGTACAATAATACCCACCTATCGTAAACAAATGTAAACAATGGCGAACATTGTCGAGGTTGTCATTACAAATGTAATCTGCCGAAATTGATTACTTTATTTTATGAAAAAATACTTTCCCTCAGCTTTCAAAAGGATATTTTGTTATAGAACAAATATAAGAAAAATACGTCTCATTCTCACAAATGTCGTAATTTCATAAAAATAAATCTTAAAGAATTACTTGTGAAAAGGTATGTTTCCTTCCGTATATGACTCATGATAAGATCCAATTGTACCAGAGCTGAAGTGAGGGTTCCATATATGTTACCGATGCTATTTTCATTCGTAATCTTTTTTTGATCGTTGATAAACTTAACATATTGTACATCATCTGTGAGGAAAGACATTCTATATCTTAAATCAACAACATTTCGAAGAAGTTGCTTTTCTTCCTCTTTTTTCACTGTCAACTCAGTAGAAATGTCACTTATTTCCTGATACAGAAGGTATACGATACCAAAAAGCAACACGGAGATTACGTCTCTATACGAAATCATTTTAGTTGTTAACGTATGGAAGACCCAGTGGGCTCTGAGTATAGATATACGGAAGATCGAAGGTGCCAAGGTACGGTATTTTATTTTGAGACTACCACTTATTCAACTGGTTGTAAATATAAGCACGTCCACGGTCCAAAAATCCTGTACATCTAAATATACAATCTGCCATGTGACAGAACAGTCTCTATACTTAAAAAAATTCTGTTCCTATGTAATTATACCCAAACTTTCTAAAGAAAGTTCGGGTATATTAATGTTACCCTGGGGCCCGTTTTACAAAAGAACTTACGACTAAGACCAAAACCTTCAGTTGATTGTAAAAATTTTGCAGAATTAATGTTTCTGTTTGAAATTTCTAGCGTAAAAATACCTTTCTACATTCTTTTTAAAAAGAACGATAAAAATTCAATTTAATGTAAATTATAAAGTTATAAGCAGAATAAAATTTTCGTCTTAGTCGTAAGTTCTTTTGTAAAATGGGCCCCTGGTCCACCCGACCGTCCGCCTGTCACACTTTCTTTATAATCTAACTACTCCTACATTTTAGTCAGAATTCAATTAATCATTTGGAATATGATAGGCGGTGTCCTATAGATGTGCAAAAAGGTTTTGGAATTTTCAATTTAACCCTGGGGCAAAACGGGGGTCAAAAAATGACTTTTTTTTTACAGAAGCCCGGTCCCTAGAACTCCTCCTGCATTTTACGCAGTAGCCTAATCATCTTTTGGAAGATGATTGGTGGTGTCCTGTAGATGTACAATAAGGTTTCGGATTTTTCATTTTCACCCTAGGGGTCAAATAGGGGTCGAAAACGATGTTTTTCTACTATGACTTGGTTTCCAGAACTCCTCCTACATTTTACGCAGTAACCTAATCATCTTTTGGAAGATGATTGGTGCTGTCCTGTAGATGTGCAATAAAGTTTCGGAATTTCCATTTTTACCCTAGGGGTCAAATGGGAGTCAAAAAATGATGTTTTTGGTTTAAAACTGTCCACTTCTGTTACAAAGGTTTTTAACATGCGTTATCCCACTTTGGATTCAATTTTTAAAACAAATTGTTTTCCTTTCATATTAAACAGATTATTATACCATATAGGTTGTTGAGCAAAACTTACATTAGATATGGAATTTTTGAAATAAATTTAAGTCTGAAAGTTTTGTCTCGAACAAAGATAATATATAATTGACATCAACATTAAGTCGATTTAAATAGCCGTCTACTAATTATACAAATCTTTTCTACTAAGAATCTAGTCCATGCAGCCTTTAAGTCTTTAAATTTCAATTCAAATTTAAACACCTACATCACCATCTTCCTGTTTTCCAATCACAATATTTCTTTTGATTCTATCACGTTTATTCCATATAAAGTTGAATATGCTGCTTTTATTCGGGATCGGGGATTGGTAATATTGAACCCGTATGAATAAGTTGTTACAAGTTTATGAATTAACGACACATGATTTCCCAAAGATAGTCTATTTTCTTTTTTCCCAAGATTCAAAGAATGTTTCCATATTTTGAAAAGTTTTTAACCAATTCAATTCACAACATTTAACTTCATTATGGCCAATGTGTATACCGCAACATCAAACAGCATCATTAGTTACCTATATGCCTCCTACGCTTGTGTATTTATCTTTAAGACTACTTAGTAATAAACATTGTGTTTTGAGCCAGCGTGTTTACAAAATTCTTCAACAGTTGTGACAGCAATATTTAAAGAAGATGTATCTTTTACAGCCAGTGTGACATCGTCTGCATGTTGAATATTTTTTTTATATCTCTTTTCATGTTTGATAAATTAATACCTTTTATTTCATTGTTATTTTTAAGTTTAAGGGCCAATATGTCTGCAAAAATAAATACAACAGATCTTAAATAGGACATCCTTGTCTAATACCTCTGTTCATGTTACACGTTTTAGAAAACCAACCAATGTTTTTAATTCTGAATATTGGTTAACTTTGGTGATAATTTTCTTCAACATTAAAATCCTATACAATAAACCATTTTTTTTATGACAGGGGTTAATTTGTAAACTTTTGATTAATAATTATTATAAGGACTAAATAACGGGAACTTGTTTTGATAGTCATATTTAAAAATTAAATATGAAAATCATCTCTCTAACCGACTAAGTCTGTTACCCATTGCCATCACTAATAAATTTTGTACATGTACAAGTTACATTGTATGTGCATTTCATTATGTGAAATCATGAAAAAAAAATTAAGATTCTTCCTTTTATTTTGTTTTAAAATTACACAAATATGACTGCATGTAAACAACAGAGTACTTTAACAAATAATGCACAGAAAATGTGACATTATCTTTGTATCAACATGATGGTTTTTCATTTATATGTTGCACAGTATCCATTTCTTTTATTTTAACTTAAATGAGAAATTTCAAATTCCTTTTAGATAGGTGTGACTAATCTAAAAACTGCATGCGAAATTTGAAAAAGAAAATTCCACTCAACTGAATCGAAAGCCTTTTCAAAATCTAGAAATAGTAAAAATCCTTAAAAGTTTCTCTTTCATTTTCCATACAATATTCATAAATGTCCAGAACTAATCTTGCATTTATTCCTATGTAACGACAATTAAAATATGCCGATTGTTCATTACTAATTAATTTGGCTATGACACTTTGTACTTTTTTTGCGAGAACGAAAGTTATAATCTTGTAATCAGTGTTTGTTAAACTTAATGGTCTGTAATATTTCAGATAATTCTTGTCACCTTTTTTAAATAAAAGAGTGATAAGTCCTTATCGCTGAGAATATGGTAATTCTTCTTTATAGAAAAAATAATAATACGTCATAAAAGACTTTCTCAAATACATAATCAAAAGAAATTACAGCAAGGAAGCAAGATGGCGCTCGTGAGGTGACAGGTCGATTTTTGGTGAGCGCGAGTTTGGAGATATTTAACAAAATATTGACTGATATGACAGAGAATTTTCTAACAGAGTGTTAAAATACCATGAGGAGCGTCTTTACATTGTGGAAAACATAGTGAAAAATTAAGACTGGATCTAACTATCAGTGTTTAAAAGGAATATAAACATTCTATACAGCCGTGAGTACTGCTTACTACAGTTTACTACAGTTTTTTTAAACACCTCGATTCACCTATGTTGGATGACCTCTTTGTTTAAATTGTTTAATCTTTGTCTCCGCTACCCAAAAACAAAAACATGCCAAATACCAGGAAAGGGTCTGAAAACAGTAAATCTGGGACTGAATAAAATGAAACGATTGTAGCAACAAAAGACCGAACATTAGCGTCCCTTAAAACTGATCTACATGAAATAAAAGAATGATTGCAAAAAACGGTCAAAACATGCGATCTCGAATCTATGGTGACGAATATTGTGATGGGACTTTTAAAGATTCATGAAGAAAATGCAGAAAAACGAGAGACACAATTAAAACAAAAAATTGATGGTCTAACAAAAGACGTTGATAGATTAACATTAGAAAATGAATCCCTACGAGAAAAATTATGTGAAACAAATAAAAACAATAGAGAACTGCAAAAGGAAATGAATGTGCTAAGAGATCTAGCTACTTTTGCCACAGTGAAGGCCAACATCAATACAGCAGAAGAAACAATATTAAAATTTACGGTGTTCAAGAGACAAAAGACGAGAATATTATCGAGGTCGTGAAATCTGTATTGAAAGAGAAAGGGGGTGTAGAGGTCAATGATTGTGACATAGTGGCAGTTCACAGAATACCAGGATCCAGGGCGAAAGCACCAAAACCTATTCTTTTGAAGATGAAAAATAACGACAAAAAGGCCCACATAATGCGAAAGCGATCAACGGTGAAGGATGCCCCTGGTAACGTTCGATTGGGCGACGACGTTACCAAAGAAAACAGCGAGTTAATTGCCCGCCTGTTGGATAATGAATGTGTAACGTCGGCATGGTACTTCAATGGGTCGGTTTATGGACAGGTGAAGGGAAAACGAATAAGGTTTGATATTCTAGATGACATCGAATACAAGGTAAATAACATCCGGGACTCAAAAATCCGACCGTATTCCCACCGACGTTTGTTGACAGTAATGTTTATCCGGTGTCATACGCATTGACTTTTTTCCAAACAGTGACTCACTAGATCACGGTAGTCAACTTGTTTTTCTGTGGATTTTTTTTTAACTGTTGATAATCATTATCTGACTTACTGTATTGTTGCTCTTTCTGTGCTCTTTCTTTCTTTCTTTTCTATATCTCTATCTCTGTAGACTTATATTCAATATCATGAGTCAGGGATGGGGTAATCGTAATCGAGTAATCGTAATCGATTGTAATGATTACTTTTTTTCAAGTAATCGACAGTAATCTGTAATCGAAGAGATTTTCGATTACTTGTAATCGTAATTTAATCGATTACAGCTAAAATTATCAATGTAATTATAATTACTTTTTCGATTACTTTCGATTAATTTATACATTAATGGATGTTATTTTGGAGAATTATTTCCAGTCAGTCAAACATAAATATCAAATATAAACCACCTAGTGTAATATTTGGATTTCCTAACTTATATTATCATAAGTTTAATAATGTTCTCAATAAAATTTGCATTATAGGCCTACTGGTCTAGTATTAAATAATTCAGAAGTGTATTTATTAATAAAATATACAGATTTTTCGTGTGCATTTTACATTTGACCCATTGTCCTCTTGCATCATGTCCTTTTTCATATTTCAGATGTTGAAAAACTTTGTCTTGTAATAGAAAATTATAAACAGCAAAAACAGATTTAAGTGCTGTATTAAATATAAATAGTTTGATAAATAAACTACTCAAAAAAAAGATGGAAATACTTATTCATATCTGAAAATGTTTAAACAACTTCAAACTTGTGTTTTAGTAACTTCAAAATTTGCAAAATCATTCTTATGTTTTCAGTCAAAATTGTAAGGTTGCTTTATATATCAGTGAGAGGTTATAAGTGTCTGTAAGAGAGGGAGTA